TTGCGGTGATCCCCCCCCCCCAATAACTAGAGGCAAGAATTTCTTTACTCCATACTCCAATATTCAGTGGTGTGAGCTGATTTAAAAATGCACAGCAGAGAGCTTTTCACTGAATTACACCGTAGGCTATGAGGGGAGTGATGGGAAATTTTAATGAGGACTCAGTAAAAAAAAAAAATTACATGCCTGCAGATTATTTGTGATCCATGTTACTGGTTTTCTGTCGAATATATAAATAATATATATAATTAATTATTATATATATAATATTTGATGAATACTAAAACACAAAAAAAATCTTGGAGTGCACCAAAAAAAAATATGCGCAGTCACACACAGAAACCCAAATGCAGATACTATTTTTATACCCTATTATTAATGTCTTCCAAGAATAATAGCACTTATTATTTTGTGGTACACTAATGTGCCACTTTAAATCATGTCAGATTTAACGCTACGAGTTTCAAAGGCCTACGTAGGTCTCTTCGATTCAGCGTGCGACTTCAGAGCCACGGCGGGTCACCGAAAGCTGCTTTACATTCACTCCATATACCCATACATTATATCAGTGCCTCCACTGCTGTGGGTATTTTCTACGATTATCATGTCATATCATTCAGCACTACCCGTAGCTTAATGGATTTGAAATGTGACACGAGGGCAGAAAAAGCAGCTCGGTAAATCGAGCAGAATTCATCGGGGATTTTATGAACGCGCATGTATATCAACACATTTTGCACGTGAGTAAATCCTTTAGAGTGGCTTAAAGGTGCAAGTTGTTCTTCAAAAGAGGTTTCAAAACAACAGTTTGTTTTTTTTGTTTTTTTTAGGACATCATAGAATTGGTAATCTCTCCCACTTGGAGGGGGAATTGCTTTACTTCTTGAAGGTCTTTCGGACCGCATTTGGCTTATATTTTTCCCAAAGCAATTATAGACTGGGTGAATTTAGTTGTCTTGCGCTCTCCACGGTGGGCTGTGGAGAGCGCTATGTTTTTTTTTTTCTTTTTTTCCCCTTTTATTAACAGAGCTGGAGTATCTATGGGGAGTAGGTGCAGTGATGGTCAGAGACACAGCGTCCTCTGCTGGTGATGAGGGAAACATTGTTTTCTGTCCCCTGTTTGTGAGATAAACAACACTGTCTAAGCAGGTGTGCATGTGCATTACCATTGTGTCTTTTTTGTGTGTTTTTCAGGTGTATGTGAATGCTCGGACTTCACCACTGGGACGACCTGTGAGCGCTGCCTGGATGGTTACTATGGCAACTCTTTGATTGGCACACCTGGTGATTGTCAGCCTTGCCCTTGCCCAGGCCAGACCAGCTGTGTCCAAATTGCAGAGACAGGACAGGTGGTCTGTACCAACTGCCCTGCAGGACAGACAGGTGACGTGAACAATTTAAACAAATTCATATGGATGGGAAGCACACTGAGTAACGAGCTTTATGTCAAGACCAGAGCAGTCAGAGCGTCTCCACACGACAGCGTGATACTGAAAAGAAGGTGGCTGTAGCGCACCCCACCTTAATTTGAGCTAAGGTCGGGTGACGGTGACCTCCAGCAGTGTTCTTTCTCACTTATTCATCTATTGCCTGCCCGTCTCTCTCTCACCTCATTCCCTGTGTAGGAATGCGCTGTCAGAGGTGTGAAGATGGCTACTATGGTGACCCCCTAGGGCTCTCAGGGGCAGCTCAGCCATGTGTGAGATGCAACTGCAATGGTAATGTGGACTTCAACGCGGTGGGAATATGTGACCACGTCACTGGGCGCTGTCTGAAGTGCCTGGGACACACGGAGGGAGATCACTGTGAACGCTGCCAGCAGGGTTTTTACGGCAACGCCCTGGACCAGACAGTGGGCCAGAAGTGCAAGTGTGAGTAACCGAGAGTGTGCCGGTAATTTATTATGATGCTAAGATGTCAGTGCAAGATGAGCAATGAAAGATGGGTCTCCTGAAAGAGTTCCCCTGCACTTATAGATGTGTTTGGCTTACTTCCCTTGGAAACATCCACTGCATTCAACCTTTTTTCCGGCAGTGTTGCATTTAAACTGTATCAGCATACAATTCATACTGTCATATTGTTGTTTACAACCAGAAAGCTACAATAAAGTAATGGACATATTCTGCTAAAGGCTACTTGACCTTCGAGTTGGACTTTTAAAAAGAGGAAAAAATAGTCCATTCAAATTGCCTTCAATTCAAGAGTTCTATTTTGACAGGTATAGCTTTCTTGAGTCATGAAAGGCAAAAGCTGAAAATGGTTTGAACAAATGGCTGTGGGTCAGAAAGATAACACAAAAAAAGAAGAGACTCGCTGGGCTGGGAGAATGGAAAGCGGGAAAAAAACCTAACTGAAGTTACAAAAGCAGAAACAGTAATAGCTGTGACGTGTTTGTCCTTTGATTTTCTTATCCTTTTCTTATGCTTCATTCTACCACAGTTGAGCCTCTACAGAACAGAACAACACCACAGAGGGATATAGGACATCTATTATTCTATTCTTTGTCTTTTCTTATTGTTTTCATAATGAATTGATAAACTGGGAAATGTAATATTTGGTTTGGCTGGTGACTGAAATCAAGCTGTATAACATAAACAAATCACTCATAACTGCAGATGTGAAAACAAGATGTTGTGTTAGCTATTTGCTGATATATTACTATAATCATTTATAAAGGATGAGAAATGAAAATAAAAAAAAACAAAAAAAACACTTCAACCCTGTTATGTTATGATTGTTGCACAGGTTGGCCACCAGTGGCACTCTGCAGCTTCCCTGTTAGCAACATGTGTTTGGAACACGATGAACAAGTAACCTACATCTCCTATTGAGACAATAAAGATTCCAAAACACACGTTTTTGATCGATGTAAAGGTATCAAACTCTGCACTAAAATTGGTCTACACAAAGATGCACATCCCTAGATGTTTCTCCTAGATCATTGTGGCTTGTTCTTAAAATCAAAACTTTATTTATCTTTGTTCGTCATACTAGCCTATTTAAATAGATGACAAATACAAGAAATCCAGTGTGCCAGTTGAAATTATACAAAGTAGGCGTATCTTGTACCGCAAGCTGTTTGCAAGCTGCAAACAGATTTTTTTGTTTCAAGTTTTGTGTTTATTTCCTTTAGCATGCAGCTGCAGCTCTGCTGGAACATCTGGGCATGTAAATGAATGCCATCCTCAGACAGGAAATTGTCATTGCCTCAGTCATGTGACTGGACGGGATTGCAGTTATTGCGAAGTTGGCTTCTTCAACCTCCAACCGGGCATTGGATGTGAAATGTAAACAGATCTCCTGTGCGCTTCAGAGTTGATTTGTATGAAAAGCAGTAATAACTATTCTTAGAAGAAGACTCTATCATTAATGTGTCATTTTCCTGCCTTCCTCAGATGCAAATGTAATCCAATTGGCTCATCGTCACTGGCATGCCATCCAATCACAGGGCAGTGTGTGTGTCGCACAGGAGTGGAGGGGAGACTGTGTGATACTTGCCGTTTGGGCTTCTTTGGATTCTCATCACGAGGTTGCAGAGGTACAGTACTTTACTCGAGGCATCACAACTGCACTATGTGCCATCCTCTAATCCTCTAATACTTCCTCTAATACAGATCACACATGAAGGCATTTCTAACTCTATAAATGTTTATCTCTGTTGCTCCTTGGCTCTGCCATCCCCTTGTGGTCCCATCTTGCCTCATCAAGCCTGTAACTGTGACCCGATGGGCTCCGTTTCTATGCAGTGTCGCAGTAACGGCACCTGCCACTGCCGCCAGGGCTTTGTGGGTTACAAGTGTGACAAATGTGAGTTAAACTATTTCCACAACAGAGCCACACACCAGTGCGAGGAATGCCCAGTTTGCTATGGCCTTGTCAAGAAACAGGTGGGTCTATGTTTCGTTAAATTGTTTATGTTCGTTAATATTTGCATTTGGAAGAAAAAAAAATTGGGATTTTTTTCATTTTTACTGCTTCGAATGGCAAATTAGGGCACAGCATATAAAAATAAGCTTTTGCAGTCAAATGGCAAACTTGATAGCAAAAAAGTTGCACAAGTTGACTTTGTTGGGAATTTACCCTGTAATGTAATCATTTATACATTACCACTCACTCGTAGCAATTAATCATAGTAACACTTCTAATTAACCAAGATCAAATTTAGCATATTTAGAGGATTTTCTTACCACTTAAAAAAAATGCAATGTTTTAAAGTGTCACACTGTGTTTTAACCAGCCTAGCTTTAGGTATTTACTGGGGTTTCTTTAGGGTTGCCAACGTTTTAACTATCAAGGGCCACTCTGGCGTGCCAGAAGCACAATGCACAGCCAGCAGGGTATAGTGTAAATATGCAATGTGTGTTTATATTCTTACATTAAAAATGCAGTAATGTTGGTATTTACTCAATTACTCATCTAAAGCAATAAAGAAAAATACAGTAAACAATGACAGAAATCACATGAAAAGAAAAAAATATTCAAATAAAATACTGTAAATAGGGGCTTACATTACCCAGGTTATTATCATGCTACGCAGACCAAAACGTATTCCTTCTTAAATCTGCTTTGCGTGGCTGGCCATCACTGATGGCTGTAACTGGACACAAGCACTTGGTATTTGTAAGAGTGCCATCTGTTGGTCAGGAAGCATCATTGCAGGTAAAGATCGCCATACAAGACATTCAAGTTAGAATAAGGAAGAAATTATATGGGATGTCCCGGTTAAAACGGGACCTTTGGCAACCCACGTTTACATACACTTCAACTGCCAAGATAATGTCTCTGAAAGTATCTAATGTTAGCATGACAGCTAGGATGGCCTAATACAGTGTTTCCCAACCTTTCGGCGCCACGGCACATATTTCACATTAGACGGCACAAAGAAACATGTCACAAAATGCATATTGATAATTTTCTCCCATGCACCAGGTATAGCGTAATTGTCTCAGTTTGTCCCAAGTATACCTTTTTTGGTTTCCTCTGACGACTACTCATGCTGGGCCTTCATCTGGGGCGGAATTTTCTGCAGGACCCTGGTCAGATTGACTACTTTTTCTTTTCAAATATTTATATATTGATATTAAGCCCTGCATCTTCTCACAGCATGACTATTATGTAATTTCTTCATCGTCTTTTTTTGTTTTACTGGCAGTTGGCAACTCATTTAATTAGAGCAGGTAGTTGTACTGCCCTCTAGTGGAAGAGAATGCTAGTGCTAGTCAGGTGGAACCAGATAATCTTCCACACCTGATCAATTCTCACGGCAGACCTATGTGCCGCGGCACAGTGGTTGGGAAACACTGGCCTAATATATGAATAAGCTACATTATGAAGACATTTTTCACAGGATTGCATGCAGCTAGGTGCTGCTAATGAAATGCATTTGATAGACATCATCAGCAGGTGTGAACCCCTCTATAAAAGGAGGAGTTTTGAGACTTTACTGGAGCATTCGGAGCATCCCAGCAAATTCAACCCAAGGTCAAGCTGTGCAGTGCTGAGAAATTGCAAAAAAAACCCCAGAGCTACATCTCAGTTAGTATGTTAAATGTTAAAGTTCAAAATAGTACAATTTGTCTTAAGAGAACTGTGCATATGCCTGCAAATGACAAGCCAAAATTCCTCCACAAGGATGTGAGAGGCTGATAAAATCATACAGAAAAAAAATCACATCAATTTATTACTGCTAAAGGTGGATCTGGACTGTACGAAGGACAGCACAGAGTCCTTTCTCACAATAGTGTTTTTGTCCATCAATATTCATTTCTCTGTGGTCTCTACAAAAGAAAATGTCTTGCTATTTAATGCTAGATAGTTGGTTTAACTGTGTAATTTGATCTTTGGCAGGTTATTGGATAGATTTTTAACTTTTTATTAAAAGTATCTGGCAATAATGACCTAATGAAAAACAATAATGTTGAGTGTTAATATAGTGCAAGGTTAATAAAGAAGTACAAATTAAAACCAGCTGCAGTTGGTCCTCGCTGTCCTGCTTTTCCTACTTAGGAAGCAGTAGACATCATGAATTGAATATGAATTCTTTTTTGTTTAGGAATGGAACTTTTTATCTATGTCAACTCTGCAACTATTCAATTAGTAATTTCTTCTACAAAATGTGAGATAATTCTGATCAGATTGAATGTACTTGTGTGCATTTCTATAGCACTTAACCTTATATACATGCAGCGCTTTGCTCTATAAACCTAAAACACTTTATCTCCTTCACGTTCAGTTAACCTAACATGCATGTCTTCAGACTTTAGGTGGAAGCAGGGCAAAAGCTACACAGGCAAAAAGAGATCATGCAAAGGCCACGCACAGGCTTACTCTGAAGCGATATTACTAATCACTGTAACTGCTGTGCCGACCGGAGCCTACAATTCAGTCTTAAAACACTCTAATAAAAGTGAAGTGTAGCATTGTACAAAATACCGCTTCAGTTTAGCTGTCAGTGTCTCACACTATAGCTTTCTTGACCTTGCATTGGGTCTTTATTTTCTGCACCTTCCCACATTCTGACTATGTTCCTTGCAGGTCCGTGCACTAGTCCATATTATTGTTTTGCACACCTACGCAAGGTGTTTTTGGCACACTTTTAATGCGTGAGGGGCAATTTGATCCTGAAATAACACAGTCCCCATAGTACATCCTGCCTCTGTAGACCCTCATGGCAGCCATATGGCTCCTTTGTATTTGTAGATTGCAAGTAAACAGTGGCTGTGCAGTGAAACAGAAAAATGATCTCCTGCACTGCTCCTCTCTGTCCCTTTAGATTTGTAGCAGCCCACGTCTGTATGCTAAGGTGCCGTGTCTCTGGATTTGCCTTCTGAGGACAATCCAATAGCGCTGATGTGTTCTGTCTGTTCTCTGTGCATTTTCTTGTTCCGGCTAAAGTGGCTGCATGTTCTCACCGGGCCGGCTTGTACCTGTGTGAATGCATTCTGTGATTTCCACAGTGTTAGCGATTCAGTGAACATCCCAACCCTTGTCTGCTGCGAACACCTGCAATTACTCTCACTGTCCTGAGTCTCCCCCAGCTCTCCCTTTCTGCTGCTCGCGCTCTCTGTCTTTCCGCTGCTACTTTTCCTGTGGTTCAAACATAGTCTTTTTTTGCCCCCTTTCTAACGAGCACAGAGAGAGAGAGGTTGAGAAAAGACACAGACGTGCGAGGGATGATCAAGAACGGTGTGAAAAAGCCCGTGGATGACAGCAGAATTTAGAAGAGAATTTTATTTTATTTTTTATATATTTTTTAAATGGACGGGACTTGATTAACTGCAAGAATGAATAACTCAGAAAAAGCACTCACTTTTTTATCTGAGTGGTGTTAAGCTGACTAGGCCTTATTAATACACCGATGATTGCTCTCTAAAGTGATCGGCAAGAAATTCCTGCTAACACAGAACACACGTGCACAACCTACGGCTACCAGCTTAACAAAAGGTGTAATCACAGCCAGATCGCAGGCTCTATTTATATAGCTCTGGACTATTTTTTAACTGCCGGGGTCAGCAAACTGTTGCCAATCACAGCACTTTTATTCCATTTTCAGACCTGGACTTCCATTCTCTAAGAAGTCTAATCTAGCTATCTGCAGAAATGCTTTCCTCGGCCGCACGCTATGCAGGGAATAGTGAGTGGATGCGGATATGAAAACCGTGTTCTGTGCTTATCCTGTTTTTGGTATTCATTTATTCATTGCTTTTGGTGAAATACTACATTTTGATGTTTTGGTGTACCAAGAATCTGAGTCCTATCTCAATCCCTGCATCTGAATAAATAAATACAGATGGAGGTACATAGATATTCTGTTGTGGTGTTTTGTTTTGTTTTTTTTCAAGTGTTTTGTTTGGTTTTTCTTGCTTTTTTTGTTGTTTTTTTTAAACCCGTATTCTCATTCAAACCTTCGGTGAAAAATCTCGATGCTATTACAGGCGGAAAAGCTCAGGACTCGGCTGCAGGATTTGGAAAAGCTCCTGGCTCACTTTGATTGCAGAGGTAGATACGGGAAGCGGCACCACCTGCTGAAGTATCACATGGCCAGGCTTTATGAGCATGAGCACCAAAGGGAGGATACTCTGCCCAATGCTCTGGAGGATTTTCTGGCCTTCCAAGGTATCAGCAGCCAGGAGCCGAGATAATTCCGCTGTCACTCCTTTTAATGTTTCCTCCGTGGTCGTGACATCTTGCGAGGCACTTGGCAGCCTTTGCCTTGTGAAACACGATGCTCGCTTAATGTGCCATTGTAACCGCTGTGTCACGCTTTGGCTATGAGATGATAACATGCCATATCAGTACATACAAGACCAGCTGCAGAAACGTGATGTGAAACCGCTCCCGGCGTTTCGAAAATCTGCTGCTGTTGCTCTGTGTCTGTGTCTCCTCCAGTGTGACTGGGCTACATATACAACGCAACAAAGCGATTAAATCAGGAAGCAAGGCGACAATGCAAACCTCTCCCAATTACTTTAACACAATGTTGATATATCCTCATTATCTTTGGAGGGGGAAAGGCTTACAGGCTCAGCTGCACAAGCCAAATGGAGACAAATCATAACAATATAGAACAGGGTGCCGTGTGACCAACTTAATCCCTGTTTATATGACAGCCAGGGCATCGCTAATCCCTGCTTATTATGATTATAGTTGCAATCATGATAACAGTTGCCCAACAATCGCCCTCCCATCACCCACACTATATACACACACACACACACATTGTTACCAGTCGTGCTCTTTAAGGCACTGGATGGCCCGGTAATGATTTAATGAGTATGTGGAATCAACGGACTCGCTGTGTGGGCACACACAAGCTCCTTGCTTCTCATTTTATCAGACACGGAGTCAAAGCGACAAGTAAAGCATGTCCCAAAATGAAGCAACAAAGCGGACAGATTGTACTAATTGTTCTGTAAAATGCCTTTGCGGCCAGTTAAATTAGAAACACGACAGCAAACAAAGTGAAATTGCCAAAAAAAAAAATACGAGCATCTGGATAAATTTCCATATGGTTCTGCTTATTCTGACTACCGATATGCGGAATGGATGAGAGTCCTCACATGAATTAACACAGTAAATGAGGGAGCCGAGAATGAGAGATGTGTCAAAATACGGCTTTCCAGCTACAAAGAGTTGGAAGAATGGTATTCTTGGTGAAGCAATCCGTGAAAGACTTAACGTGGTTTTATTTGCTTTGTTCTTACAGAGGCACGGGAGGCCTTAATAAAACAATTTTCCTTGCTGGAAGCTTCTACAGGCACACTTTTAGCCCAGCTGCATGGCATTACATCTTCTTTGAACTGCAGCATCAGCATGACAGAGGAAGAGGGGAAGGAGAGGAGGAAGGATGAAAGCAGCAGGGCTGTGTGTCAGACCTTCACAGACACTCTACACATGATCAGAGTGTCTCAGAAACAACTGAAGCAGGCAACACAAGACCTGGACAATATGGTAGGTGACCTAAATGTACACTTTGTCCTCAGTATTGTAGCCACCTCAAACACTTTATTAGTTATGACTTGCTAGCACCACTTTGGACACCCTTTGGGTTTCCAAACTGCCTTCTTTATAGCATAGATTCAACAAGGTGCTGGAAACGTTCCTTGGATTTTGTTCCATGAAGTGAATCTCCAGCCTCTGTTGGTATGAGGCAGGATGGATCCATCCTTTTATGTGGGCTACTCCAAATTCTGAGCCCACCATCCAGTTGCTGCAGCAGAAATTGAGACTCATCAGATCAGGAAATATAGTTCCTGCCTGACAAGCCTGTGTGAACTGTAGCCTCAGTTTTCCTGTTTTTTAATTGAAGAGAGTTCACCCAGTGTGGTCTTCTGCTGCTGCAGCTCATCTGCTTCCAGTCTTGGCATGTTGTGTGTTAATAAAATAATTTCATTTTTGTCACCGACCTGTTTTTCCTGACAAAAACAAGACAATAACTAAATAAAAACGAACACACAAGGAAGAAAACGATGATGACAATGATGATGATGACAATTTTCCTGAAAGGATTCTGGAGAGACAAGATCCAATCAGAACTAATTAAATTGTGTAGGAAGGTGGAATGGGTTTTGGAAGTGATCTAAACTGAAGTAATCTCCTTGTGCAGTAAGGTTAGAGAGAAGAATAGAAGTCATGGAGGAAACTAACTTAAGATTTTGTCTACTAAAATCTTAATCTTTAGTCGACTAAAGCTAATAGAATTTAGATGCCTTAATTATGACTGAAACTAAATGAAATTGTAGTCCAAAGATTGACTAAAAAACTAAACCAACATTTGCTGTCAGAATTAGCACTGCTACATACCTTTTTGTAATAAGAGGCTATTAGATTTTCTGTTGCCTTGAAGCAGCGTGACCATTCGCCTCTGACCTCTGGCATGAATAAGGCATTTTCAAACCAGAGAGCTGTGTCTTACTGGAGTATTCTCTGTAAACCCTTGAGGCAATTGCTCAGGAAAAAATCCCAGTACATCAGGAGTTTGTAAAATACTCACACCAGCTGATCTGGCACCAACAACCACACCACATTCAAAGTCTCTTAAATCACCTTTCTTCCCATTGTGATGTTTCATTTGATATTGTGTTGACTATGACAATATGTCTAAATGCACCATGTGAGCCATGTGATTGGCTGATTAGATCTGCACCTGTACCTAATAAAGTGGCCTGTGAGTGGGCTGTGAGTGTGTCATGACTTCCAAAAGTCAGATTATTTCCAGGATAAAAATAGAGTTTGTAGATTTAGAAACATTAACAAAAAACACAGGTTCTGACAAGTGAAGGGGTGCTTATGGTGCTGCATCATGTCTAAGGTTTGTATTCAAGTGGGAACCGCTCGTAGCACTGACTATGCTAACTCGGCAGTACAAATTTCCTTCGGTTGTTTCTGTACAGTTTCACTGAAGAAAACTGATGACATGTGGATCTGAGCTATCCATCACAGACTTCATGAAGTAAATCAACCTGCAGCCATTGTTCAGCTGTGATGAATATTGCCGTGCCCCAGGTTTCCAGCAGAACAGCAGACCTAAGCATAACTATGCACTATTGTCAAATTTTAAATTGGTATATGTTAAGTAAAGACTTAGGCTTTCTTAGTGCCAAATCATAGATATACCACTGGTTTTAAAGGGGTACTTCATAGCACTCTGTGTGGAAACTTTAGCACAAGCAGCAGACCAGCATTGCAGAAACTTAACAAAATTAGTTAAACAAGATTTAGTTAAGATACTGCTAAGCTGAGTGGTTTCACAGCACCGGTAGTGGCCTTCACACCACAAAGGAGGAAAAAATGTCAAAATCAATAGTATGAGTGAATGATTGGGAGAAAAAGAAAGTCCCCTTTGCCAGTGAATCCAAATGTGAGCTTACATGAATGACATATTAACAATAACAGATTCACCAAAGGTCAGCACAGTAGCATCAGCAAAGTCCTGCTTGTTTACTGTCTTTGCATAATTCATACTCGTTCTACTCAGTCTCACGGCACGTTTTCCACCGGTTATACACGACCCCTGTAGAGTGCCTCTGTGCCTCACAGTGAAAGCCCACTCCCAGTTAGATAACCAATGATTTAACAAGGCGAGCTAGACCGAGAATAATACTGCAGTGTATCAAATGTGTAGCAAAGTTTAGTAGTGGGAATTTGAAATTGATCAAAAGTAGCCCTCCTTAGAACTTTTTGGAGGGAAGATTGACAAAAACAAGCAGTCCTAACATCAAACTAACCTCTTTGGAGCTCAAGCATATGCTTATATTAAATCAAGTACTATAAATATTACTGTAAGCAATAATCAGTCTTTTATGCCATTGCATTATATACTGTGTGCTAGCATGCTGAGCATGTTTTTTTTATTGTCTTTACTGTGGGAGGTTGCAGTTTACCTTGCTAGATGCTGCTCTTTTGTGTAGATCCACAAAGACTCCCCCCAGGCAAAACCATGACTCCACCCCCTCATACCCTCACCCTTCTCCGTATGAGTGGCACACTCCTCCCTCTGAAACAAAAAACCAAAGATGTTGATGGACGCTAAAATTAACAACTTGTTCTTCACCCGCCTCAAGGCTTTTTACGGTCTCTTCATGACGCTTGCAGGAATTTATTATAGATACTCCTGCCATGTTATTTAGGTTTGGAGAGATGAGTGAGCTTGTTTTGCCAATATATAGCTCTCTATTTCTGATTGCGTGTGCGTGCGTGTGCGTGCGTGTGCGTGCGTGTGCGTGCGTGTACGTGCGCGTGTGTCCATTGTGCTTATCACTTGGGTATGCCTGAAGCAACAGCAATGTAATTTCATATTACATATTTCACAGTGGCCACCTCCCTTCCACTAAAATGAAGAAAGAAAAATGCTAGTGTGTCAATTGTTGATTCAGTTTGCCCTTTTTATTTGCATTTTGTCAAATTAAATGCCACTCTGGGAAGGACTCTGGTTTCAACCGTATAAACACTGCATTTATTAAGACAAAACTTCAGGCAATTTCAGACCTTTTTAGGACCCCCCCCCAATATGCCCCTGCTTTGAACCTGCTTGATTACATACATTTAGAGAAGGCGGTTCATTATATAAACATGCAAAAGTATTGAGTACTGTCCAGTGCAATATAACTTTCATGTCAGCTGATTCGTAATTGTATTACCTTACAGGCGTTACATTGTAAATATATCCCACACAGTAGGCACTCAATGCAACAAAGCTCTAAGTATTCCATTACTGAGCTTCAAGCCTTATTTATAATGCTTTCTGTGTCCACCCGCATCTTTAAAAAGACTATCTTTGGACTCAAATGAGGCCATAATTACACTTTTTACTGCTATTTTATTAATAATCTTGCATATCCATGGGCATTTGGGGTTCCAGCTATAAAACAAATCCCCCCCAACACCTTTTTGGACTCATATAATCATATCATCATCATCATCATGTGTTTACTTCTGTGTGTTCATTTTGGTAGTCCTGGCCATGTTCTTACCAAATACATTGTACAAATTGATCCTGGTCTTATCTGACCATCACTCCCCATGTTCATTAAACTTTTTTTCTTTTCCCTGTTTATTGTTAATTAAGTCAAATTTGATCTTGCGGTGTTGTGCCAGAGAGAAAGCAAGACAGTTGATTGCTCTCTGAGCTGTCACAGAAAGTCACATTTTTACTGATAACCCATGTGCCAAGTCTGAAGGTTTCATTTGTCTGTTTTTTTTTTTTTAGATTGTGTAAGTACTACCTCATTTAGAAGGATCCTGATTTGTAGTACTAGGGCATGTACTGTACCTCTGATTACTGTTGAAACTGTTTCGACTGATTTTTAAGTTGGCCATAAATCTTGCTGTATTCGTTTCCAGTGTTGTGAAGTCTCACAATCACATTTCTCAACTTCACCAGCAATTCTTTTCCACGTGGAGCAAGAATGCAGACAGTCACAGCCCAAACTGACAAAGCTCTTATGTTCACAGGTCATTTTGTAACGCTGATCGTGTATTTAGGCTCATTCAAAATCCCAGAAAATCTCTGGTTTGTTTCGCTGATCACAACTTTTTTAACGTGCAGTGCTGTAAAATAGTTTATGCCCCCTTTTTGATTTCTTTCTTTTGTCATTTTTCTTTTTGCAATATTTGTTACACTTACATGTTTAAGATCATCAGACATAATGTAATATTAGACAAAGGTCTAAACTATCCAACCATATCTAATCCTCTGTGAAAAAGGAATTAATGTATTTAAAAGTAGATCTAATAAATCTGCATTTTGTATTTAAATCTTTGTCAAATATGACAAATATTGCAAAATAATAAAAAAAACAGGACAGAACTATACATGTCAATAATTAGAAGTTCATTTATTTTTGATGTACTGAGTTTCTACTTTGGGATTTGTATTTTCAAGACAGTCTTTTAAATTTTTTAATGTTCATATGAGAACCCAAATTAAAACTTTTTGCTCAAATCATTATCTAACAGTCAATATATACAGACAGGTTCAGGGGGAGGTACACCACAGAGCATCTGTTTTCATCTGTAAAACACGGCGGAGGTACTGTCATGGTTTATGGCTACATTTAATTCAGAGGTGGTTCAGATCTTATCAGAAATGATAAACCTTTGAACGAGGACAAGTGTGGATTTTGAGCCATCATGCAATACAATGTGGAAAGCAACTGGTAGACAAAGAACAGAACAAAAGGTAGCTCACATCCAGTGAAGAGCTTTGAAATGTCCTTCGGGAAGCCTGGAGAAGTTTTCCTGAAGACTACAAGGGTGTCCAACTCCAGGCCTCGAGGGCCGGTGTCCTGCAGGTTTTAGATCTCACCCTGGGTCAACACACCTGAATCAAATGATTAATTCATTACCAGGCCTCTGAAGAGCTTCAAGACATGTTGAGAAGGTCATTTAGCCATTTAAATCAGCTGCGTTGGATCAAGGACACATTTAAAGCTGCAGGACACCGGCCCTCGAGGCCTGGAGTTGGACACCCCTGACTTAAAGAAAGCTGCCAGAGAGAGTTCAGGCTGTGTTTTGTGTCCATGCCAAATATTGACTTTCAAACTCATTCAAACTCAGGTTTTTCCTCATGTGCTGTTTTTCCACGATTTCCCTGTTTGAATAAATCAATGCAGCTATTTTTAGTTTTCTAGCAAAATATAAAGAAATGAGAGGTAGTTCAAGATTTTAGCACAATGCTGTATTTTTCTGAATAACTCTCAGAAACACAGAGTTTTCACACAAATGAAAATTTCTCTGACTGCAAACAGCACTGTGTCGAAAACATTTTTAAAAATAATCAGCTGAAGTGTGAAAAATCCTTTAATTACGTGACCTCATATGATTTAATTAAACACGTCCAAACAGCTTAGACCCATTCCAAGACCAGAGCTGTACTTTTTTTGTCATTTGCTCAGTATGTCGCTTTCTCTCACTACCTTTTTCACAGCTCATTCCTTTTGAGGCAGTGTCACGACCCAACAAATGGAACATTATGGTCAATGACTCACAGGTGCTAATGAAAAGGTAAGTTAGGTCAATGGACTTTGAGTTGTCAGTTAAAAGCAAAGACCGCAATAGTAATTTACGGAGCTTCATCACTCCCGGCTTTTAGCTTGTCAAATACATTGTGGTTAGGTTACTGTGAATCGATGCTCTCAGCGCTTCAGAGTCACACCTTTGTTCTAGTTAAAAATATCCAGAGTGCAAATCCATTTTTCTCTTTCCTTGCAGCAGCTGCAGTACTCTACTATTCTGTAATGCTCGTTTTATTCCTCTTTTACATTATTTACCTTTTTTTTTATTTCTTCTTCTTCTTCTGGTAGTCACAGGGAAACAGCGGACCACATCGAGGCTATAGCCGACAGGGCAGTAAGAGCCTCAAAGCAAACCTATAGCTCACTGATGGATCTACTGCAGGACAACTCTACAGAGGAGTACATCAGGAACCTAACGGAGCAGTGAGCACAAAGACAAACATATGTTCTTGTAGACATGCACAGGCAGAAACAATGCTTTGTATGAATTCACATTCACATAAAGCATTCTACAACTCCCTGGATTATTGCGCTTTTGCAGTGTGTGTGTGTGTGTGTATATAACAAAGTGCACCTATCACTGTATTATAGCTCAAGGTCCTCTTCTTTGCTGCTGCCTCTTAAAGCACACTAGAGTTAAGGAGTAAGACATTTAGCCACAGGGAGACAGCTTCTCTCTACTGTAAGCCTATTGCTTTCTTGGATTTGCCACACGCTTGCTGCATCTCCTAGCGTGTGATTGCTCTGAGGATTATCCTGGATGCTAGACAGAATGATGCAAAAAGCCCTCCGGTGGCCATGATGAGAGCAAGAAGTGAGGAGCTCCAAATTGATTACTCCCTTCTACCAGTAGTCAGCTTGATTCAGAGGAGTTGTGTTCATCTTCGGAGCACTGCCGTATGTCTGTGTGCGTGCTCGCGCGTGTGTGTCTGCGTGCGTTTGTGTGTCGCTTTATAGGATGCAAAGTGAGCAGTTTACGCACAGATGGGCAGCATAAAATTGCATTTCCCACACATATTTCCCCATGTGGTGGCACTTAAGCAGATCAGAGGCATTTTATAGGCAGGAAGCTACCCAATCAGAAAATGACAAAGGTATTCAACCTGTCTCCAACAAAAGGTCTGTATCACTAGTACTCAGCAGCACTGCAACTGTTAGAAACAATTCACCTCAGTGTTTGTAATCAGCAACAGCAAAGGGGTAGTAGCACTTGTTCAGCACAACTTTGAGCTACATTAATGGACTTTACATTTTAGTGGGAAACTGCGTACTTGTTTTTACCTTCCTGCATGTTTTTTGGAGATATTATTACTTTCTGATTGAGCTTTTACATAAAGAAGAATGTTGAAGAATAATTTAAATAACAAACTGAACAGTTCGCTGCCCTCTCTGGTTTTTTGAACATTGTGCCTCTTCTGACCATAGTCAGAACCATCCAGTAGAAATGTCACCAGGTCTCGGGGCAATTTTGTACATCCTTATTGCAAAGTGAAAAGTTAAATCACTGAAAATAAGCAAAAAAAGATTTTTAGCCAATGCTAGGTCACCGTTGAAAGCTTAAACCACAGCTTTCTTGTAAAATCTGTGCAGACATGTAGTGTCTAGTTGAAACCCCAGTCATGTTTCAGATCTGTTAATAAAAGCAGCTACAGTTACTGTTGCAGTTTTTATTCTGCAGTCATTTTTTGCCCCTCCCTTTTCTTTTCTTTTTCTCACAACACAGAGTGATATATTTGCATAGTTTCACACTAGCAGGCTGTTTTCTTGTTCTGATGGAGAAAGGCTCCCTATAGGTTTAAAACATGCCTTTGAGGATCTTTGAATGAAGACATAAAAGTATGAAATTAATCACTGAGTGGGGAAAGAGATAAGGCAGAAGGGACAAAAATTAAATTTGTGCATTAGGTTGGGGCTCTTTGAGCCTTGCTGTATTTAACGTAGTGACCAATTACAGTGGTACAAATGTGTTTGTTGTTGGGGATATCTTATGC